CCAGGATGGAGTACAGTGGCCTCAAACTCAAATGATCCCCCTGCCTCAGCTTCCCCAGAAGCAGGGACCACAAGCACCATCCCAGCACCACCCCATCTGGCTAATTTTTCTGTTTAGTAAAGACAGGTTCTAACTATGTGGCTCAGGCTGGTCTTGAACTTCTAGGCTCAAGTGATCCTGCCGCCTTAGCCTCCCAGAATTCTGGGATTATAGACGTGAGTCGGCACACAGACTGACCACAAGGGATCGTAGCAGAAGGCTGACCCTGCGGTCTTTACAGACATAGCCTCAAACTTACGGGCCACAGAGAAAAACACAAGGACTCACTCCTCCTAGAAGACATGGTACCAGAGAGGAGGAGGTGAGGCCTGGTCAAGTCTGCACTCCACACTGCTCTCAGCAAACAGCCACTAGACTCTGTCAGCCCCACACGACGAATGTGTCCAACAATAACATTTTATCTCTACCCATTACTTTCAGGGACGGGCATACTTTTTTTGATTACTAAAGTTCTCTTAAAATATCAACAGAGAAGGATGGATTTTACAGGGTTTTTTTTTAATGAAAGGTCAACAGTTCCCATTCCCAGCCTCCTCTACCTCATCATGCTGCCTGTGCCTGAACACACACCATGACCTGATGCTCCCAAAACGTGTCTTCCCAGCTTACTGAGTCTGCAGATGCTTTATACATGGAACAAACTCATTATGCAGGATCTGTCAAACTGAGAGCCTGCAAACACTCCTGGGAGTCCAAACATTACTTCAAAATTTCTTAATTATATTTTCATTTGGAAAACCACCTTATGTATAACCAAGTACTACCAAGATTTGAATGCCACATTTGGTTTCCAACACTGATGGAGCCTCAGAGTGCCACTTCGTAACTCTCGGCCTCTAACATAATTTGTTAATGAGGTTTTTGTGCTAATAAAAATCAAATAATATCACGACTACCATTGTGAATAATGAACGTTTTCAACAGACCTAATTAAAAAGTGGGAGACTGAGTTGCACAGAACGGACTTGCCAAATTCATAAAAATCTTACGTCAGTGAAAACTACATGTATATGTAACTGGCAAATGACAATTTAGTTACAGGAAAATATCTGTCATGTTAAATTAAATTACACGTTGAAACTAACACTGCTAACTTGAATTTCATCGATTTTGATTTTCATTTATAAATTTAGTGACTTGAAAGTTGCATAAGAGCTATAGGCATACAAAGTTTATGTTTAGTTGTAACACTTGAAAAAAATCGACACTGGGCTCCATCTAAATTTTCTTACTCTAAAAGAGTTGCAAAAATTGTCAAACTTGAAAAACCCTGCCTTACACAGATTACTAAACACCAAGTAAATGTCTTACTTACTGCTCTAAATCCAAGTTTCCATGGATGCGTGCCTAAAATTTCTTCTATCTTCCCCAAAACCTTTCCAGAACCAGAGTTTAGGAGCCATTTAAAGTGTCGAGGCAGAAGACGTGGAAGGAATTCCATTATTTTCGGAAACTTTAAAGCTGTCATTGCATTTTGAAAGGGAACTACAG